GATTTTTAAATTTATTACCTTGTCATTTTCTCAATTTATTTTCTCTATTAATAGGGCTCATTTTAAAATTGTTTAATTTTTTTATTATAAAATATTTAACTGCGCCCCACCAATTATTTTTTAATATTTTTTCCTTCTCTCTCCCCTCTATCCCCCCCTCTCTCTCTTCTCCTTCAATCGTTTAAATCAAGTTGTGTATCATCTAACAAGCTGAGTACTTATACAGAAGCTCCTTAGTTGAGAGCAACATGCGTCTAAACTCAATCCAGGGCTAAAAATGCAACACGTGCTTGTTGAGAGCAAAATCCTAAATGAAAAAGGAAAATATAGTGCTTGGAGGCTAGCTTTACATACAAAATACCATTCAAGTAGCTCGAGCCCAACGCTCGATCTATGGCCGAGCATACATGTTACACTTTGAGCATGATTCAACACAATCGTAGTGTTGATCCCCTCACCTACATAGCCTATTCTTGCATATTTGAATGTAGCATGGTTGTTTTGCAAATCTAGCTCTTTCTGGTTTGAAGATTGAATCAATGGTCCCCTGTACTTAAATGCTATCATTCCAACGTCCTTCATTCCCTCTCTCTTCCCATCAACAACAATTTTGACCACTCTTATATGACCTTGATTCAAACGATTGAAGGAGAGAAGGGGGAGAGAGAAGGAGAAAAAACATGAAAAAATGATTGGTGGAAAAAAAAATTAAAATGGATCCCATTAATAGAAAAAATAGCAAGGTGATAAATTTAAAAATATTAATAGTTGAGGAAAAAATTAATCCTAAGTTGAGTTTAGGATCATTTTTACCTTTCATGTATACTTTAGCAATAAAATTGATCCTTAACCCGTTAAAAAAATAATGTGAGGCCCATAAGAAATATTTTATAATACAAATATTAAAAAAATTATATATGAGGCCCACATAACAGTAAGTTAATGTCAGGGTAGCAGAGTAATATTTTTTTAAAATTGAAAAGATATAAATAACCTATAGTTAAATTTAATATCATTTGTGACTCTTCGTTGTGCACTTCATAGATATTTTTGACCTTTAATCCTAAACAAACAAACATGAGATTTTGATTGGCCCATCTGTTGCTTAACAGTGAAAAGTACAAAATAATGAGCATACTTTTTTTTTAAATCAAACAAAATATTGAGTATATAGCCAGTTTGTTTAGAATTTTTTAAAATTAATTAATTGTAATACTTGAATTGTTTAGTGAACATTAAATTAATAACAAAATCTTGGTTGAAAAAAATATTTTTAGCTTTTTTCACTAGGAATTCTAGAGGGTAAAGAGTAATATGCCTATAAATTATAGGTTGAGTGACTTTAAAATCTTAAACTCATTTATTATGTAATTAATTTTTCAAATTTTAAATTCATAAGAACCTCTCCTATAATGTTAAGTAGGGGTAAAAATATGTTAGGTTGAATTAGATTTTGATCAAACAGGCTTGAGCTTGATTTAAAACTTATATAAGGCTTTTTTTTATGAATCAAGTTTGAACTTATCTAAACCTAATCTGGTTTGAAAACTTATTTAAAATTCTACTTAAAAGTAAGTATTTAAATATGTTCATATTTTAGTTTTGAGTTATTTTAGAACTATTATAATATACAACATATAACCTAATTCATCAATTACAATATATAATAATTGAAATATTTTTCAAATACAATATAATATAACAATAAAGTTATTATATTAAAATTATTATATAAGTTCATTATGATTGAAAAGTGAAAGCATAACAAGAATTAAAAAATGAATAGATTAATTAAAAATTAAATGGTAATTAATGTATTTGCAATTGTGTGTGCGTGCGTGCGCGTATGTGTGAATACCTATTCAGTTAAGTAAGCCTAATTAAATGCCTGAATCTAGCTTGAGCCTATTTAATAAATAAACTGGGTTGAACCTAAATAGGTCAAGTTATATAGGGACCTAGTCTATTCCTACTCTTAATGTTTCAGTAGAGGATAATGTCTATTAATTTATGATAACAAGGCTATCTAGTTCATCCATGTGTCAAGTAAAAACATGTGCCACATGTCCAGATCAGGGGTCCTACTATTATAAGTAATGAATATTATCCTCTAGTTAATGTCAAGAATAAGTTGATAGAAGTTCATAACAAAAATTGTACTTCCTCCACTCAAAAATGTAATGTATTTTTAACTGAATTTCAACCTCAATTAAGTAACTACCTACTTTTTGACTAATTCCTATTTTTTCATATTTACCTCTATTAAACACCTTACAATAAATATAAGTCATTATAATAGAGGTATTTTTGAAAAAAAATAATAATTACACCTTAAAATACTAAAAATGTCTTATATTTTAAATATTTAACTCCTAAAAAAATGCCTTATATTTTTGAACGAAGGGAGTATAAATAAATAAATTTGTGATCTCTAGTGTTATTAAATAATCCACCTGTTAAAAAATATAAAGCATTTTTAATTAAATCTCACATCTAATAAAGTAATTACTTTTTCAAAATAACCCTATCTTTTCATATTTACCCCTATTTAATAGGATATTATATCCTAAAATAAATATAAAATAATTTATTTAATAGAAATATTTTTTTAAAAATAATAATTACACCTTGAAAGACTAAAAATATTCTTACACTTTTTAACATCCAAACCTTCAAAAAATGCCTTACATTTTTAAATAGAGGGAGCAGTTTTAGAGGTAAATTGTTCTTTTTTCTATTCTAAATAGAGTTGTAATTTAGGTTAAACTCAACGATCCAGCCCAAAAATTTAGTGTTGAGGCCTAAAAAAATATTTTTTAATGTTCGAGCCTATCTAGGTTGGCTTAAATGAGCCTAAATCTGATCTAGTTTGGGCTTCCTAGATACTCAAATTTAAAAAACATGTTTTTAAAAATATATAAAAATATAATAAATATTAATTAACTCTTTAAATTTTATGTTATTTTATACTAAAATATCATATATTAGAGTGCATTGCTATAGTTATTTTTTTAAAAAAAGTAAAAATATTTATTTTTCATATTTTTATTATTTTTAATCAATAAAATATCTCAAAATAATATTTATTGATTTTTATGCTTTAAGACCCATTTATGTTTTAATTTTTTTTAGTCTTATATATAGTTTGAGTATCCAAAAAATATACTTTATATTTTTTTATAAAATGAGAAAATTGATTTAAAGAAAAATTTTAAATTAAAAATAATTTGAAAAATAAATCTGGGCATGTATGAATTATCGACTATAAAACAATATTTTTAGATAATTATGTGATCACCATCTATGCTAGACTTGATTAAAAATTAAGAATAAATTAAAAAAAAATATTTTTTATATGTAAGAGTTAAACAATATAAGAAGTTAAAGAAAAAATCTCATAAGTTTACAGTCAATGGTTTTCGATAGGATATTTGATTTGCTATGCTCTTTAGACAAAGATGGATAAGCAGAAACATTAAAGTGTTCCAAGGTAAGGCTACTTGATTGTAGGCTACCCTTGCCAAAGTGCATGCTATGGTAAGATGGTCAAATTTAAAAGGGTTGCCTAAAGATCAATACATGAGTATGAGTAGGTGGAAAGCACCTAAAAATAGGGGTTATAAAATTTAACACTAACAGAGCCTGTGGTAGAGATAGTAGTCTTTTAGGTTGCGGTGGGATTGCCCGTGAACACATTAGAAGCACGTTAGCAGAGTTTCTTCATCATAACAGGCAGGGAAGCAATCTAAATATAAAACTTTGAGGAATACTCTAGGCGTTTAAGAGAGCTTGGGATTTGAATTGGAGGAAGGCTAAAGTTGAAATTATTATATGGAGGCTGTAGAGGTGCTGGAAGGCAGATTTGGATCACCATCCTGATCATGACCTCATTATTGAGATCAGGAGCATGCTGAATAGAGATTAGAATGCGAATATTATATGATGCAGCAAATATGTGAATGTGATTGCGGACATACTTGCCAAGAAAGCTCTCAAGCAAGTGCATGGCATTGTATTCTTTTCGAATTCTTTGGATTGCATTATTGAATTTTTAGTTTCCCACACAAGTCTTGGACCCATCGTTGAATTTGTCATGGAAAAAAAAGTTAAAGAAAAAAAATAGTTCTTAAAAAAACACTATTTTACTTGTGATTTAATTATTTTTTTATATAATATAATAATAATTTTTCTCATATTCTTAAAAATAAAAAGTACAATTTATTCAAAAGTTATTAAAAACTTTAAACTAATCAGGTCATGATTTTAAGTTAGTTGTTTAACTATAATTGAATTAAGATTAACTTAATTATAATTAAAATATAAAAAATATTTATGTACGATCATGGTAAGAGAAACATTTAAATAACTAAAATATTAATTTATAAATAAAAAAATATTCATAAATAAATTACACATAAGATAGCAAAACAATAATAAAGTTACTTAAATACAAAATTGATAAGTTATTATTTTTTATTTTTTAAAGTCAAAATAATATTTTATACTTAATAGAATTAAATTAGTTTAAAAAACAAAATTTTTTTATAAAAGTTATGAATATTCCGGTTGGCCTGAATAAATTGGAAGTTGAAAGGTGTTAAGGCTGGTTTAATAATATAAATTTTTTACATAAATAAAGTACTATACATCTAATTCAAATAAGACTGCCTTGTATTAAACCTTATATGAGTAAGCCTAACTTGTCGAAATTACTGGCCCTAGTGCTGAATTGCTTATTAAAATATTTTATTCAATAACAAAGTCTTTTTAATTTTTTTTTTAAAATTAGCCGTATAACTCGTGTGTTTAGTGCTAGTATTTACTAATTTTTAGATTTTACTTTCAGAGGTGCCCAACGGTCAGTCATAGTCACGCGCTCTCCTACCTCGCGTGGCTTTTACTTTTTGATGATATCAAAGCTCAGCACCAGCCTTCATGCACAGAGGCGCTCAGTCTCTCATGGCCTATATCTCACCACCACCTATAGCTTCCACTTCTCCAAGCTCTTCCTCTGACGTTTGCCTTTCCTCTTCTTGCTTTCTCTAACTTTCCTTCTCTCTCTCTCTCCTTTTCTGCAATTCCTTGTTTGCTTTCGGCTTTTCTGATAGTACCACTCCTTCAGTCTCTTGCTCCCAACCTTTTCAGACCATTATTTGATTACGTCTTCGCCTCTCTCTTTTCCACCCTCCAGTTCAGCTAATCCTTCTTGGTTTCCCATTCTCTCTCTCTGCTTGTCCCCTGCGAGGTATTTAGAAATGAAGGTATGATTCTCCCACTTTTTCCATTTTCTCCCATCTTCCTTTTTTGTGTTTCTTTCCATGACGAGAATACATCACTTCTGAACCATGATTCCATTAGGTTCTGATTCTCCACGAACTTATATTTATTTGAATATTAGGGGCGTGTATCTGACATGAATCTGGGTTTTCCCACTTCATATTCGGGTTTTGATTTCACGTCGGGTTGTCTCTTTGAGATTGTTTAGATTTCACTTCTTTATTTTTTCCTTAGCGTCGTGATGATAATTTTTGGTTTTTGAGTCCCCCCCCCCCTGTTTGATAAGTTTAGATTTTGCATGTTATTCTGTAAAATTCTTGAACCGCTGAACATGGTTCCCTGAAGATTATTTGAATCCGAGCTGAATTACTCTCTGATGTATGCTTACAGAAGGTTGTGCTCAAGTTAGATTTGCATGATGACAAGGCGAAGCAGAAGGCCCTGAAAACAGTATCAACACTTTCAGGTATCGTATCATTGTTTATTCATTACGTCTCGTTTCCACCAAACTCTTTGCTTAAAAAGAATGAAAACCTTCCCTTGTATCCATCTTGCAAAATGAATCAGAGAAAGTAAGATGAACCCAGACTCAGTTTTTTCAGAATTTCAACCATCACGTGATGTAATATGGCAATTATATCAAATGAATGAACCAGAGTCTCACTTCATGCACTTATCCAACCAATTAATTATTTTTATTGTTGGCATGAGGTCATAGGTGGGGCAGGGAAATCAAATTTAAGAGTCCTCATCTTTCAATGAGATGAAGGTGTTAATTTGTTAGCATGTCAACATCTTGCTCTCGGGTTCCTTAAAATATGGTGAGATGGGGTTTCGTATTTTTTAAGGAACTTGGAGAATCAGGAGCGAGAGCCTTTATGGTTTGCGTCTTACTTCATTTTTTCACATTTCGACATACAGTACTCAATTAGATCATGTACGTACCACGAGTCAGCATTATAGATCTTCAAATTCACATTTAAAGGTGTAGTCGGCTATGTGTAGTTGTAGTACATATCTCTAGTTAAATGAAGCAAGAAGATGATTTTGGTGCCTGTCCTTGATGTTGTTTCCGAAGTTATTTTTCAAAGCATGAAAACTCTGCACTATGAACTCCGGCAATCTTGTAGGGATAGATGCCATCTCCATGGAAATGAAGGATAGGACACTAACAGTGATAGGAACAGTGGATCCGGTTCATGTGGTGAGCAAATTACGCAAATATTGGCAGACAGATATAGTTTCAGTGGGACCAGTAAAGGAGCCAGAGAAGAAAGAAGAAGCAAAGAAGGAGGAAGGCAAGAAGGAGGAGGAAGCAAAGAAGGAGGAGCCCAAGAAAGAAGAAGGCAAGCCTGAGGAAGATCAGAAGAAAGAAGAGAAAAAGGAGGAGAAGAAAGAAGAAGAGAAGAAGAAAGAGCCAGTTCCAGTTCCAGACCCTATTCTAGAGCTGGTCAGGGCTTACAGGGCTTATAACCCCCAGATGACAACATATTATTATGTCCAAAGCATGGAAGAGAATCCCAATGCTTGTGCCATTTGCTGATGATTATCAAGCTGTCCAAGCATGAGAGAGAGATCAACTTTCTCTATTTGGTAATGGATTCAAACCTGTCAAGCCTGTAGGAGGTTACAGCCAAGAACATAGGTACTCTTCTGTATATAATATGGTGATGCTTCAGCTGAGTTGTTTTGAGACAATATTGGTAATATGTAGGAGAAATTGAATAAGATTTTTGATGGGATTCGTTTTTGAACATGACTGTAGTTCATACTCGTCTCCTGCAACGGTTACTTGAGTGCATCACCTGCTAGTTAGTCCAGTTATTCATCTCATATCTGTTTGGACATTCAGAAAAATACAGGGTAAAAATGTGATAACACTCCTTTACTGTCCGGGGGAATTTTTTCTGAACGCAATTATGTTTCAAACTTTTTTCCTGTAATAATTACCTGGCTTGAAGGGATGACCTACTACTGAACTCGGTAATTCATGTGAATGGGTGATGAAAAAATACGGGGTGAAAAAGTGAGAAAAATAGTTGCTTGAATGGACATCACCTACTGGTAAACACAGTAATTTTAATTTATGTGCTTGGATGGTGAGGAAAAAGTGTGCATATTTTGTATCAGGGTCAGATCACAGACGGGGCAGAAGTACTAATCTAATCTTTACTAGAGCATCTCCCGATTTCTCTGATTCTGTGGTTCTTGTCTGGTCCTTCAGCATGTCCTCATGTGGGACATGGTGGTGAGAAAAACATAGGACTCCATCTTTGAGGTTGAAATTAAACTTTTTCTTTTTGCAGCTGTGTGTGATCCCCCTTCACAATGTGGAGTTAAAATAACTTGAAAGCCCCTCATGGCCTGGATTCATCTTTACTCTGAGTGATGTAACATGATGTGTCTGTATGCTTCATTTACAACTAATAATAGGAATAATAATCAGATGTTTAACTTCGGTTTTGTTAAGAAAGGGACATGGTGGACTTTACACATCAAATGTACTCAAAACTCTTCATTTTCTCTTTTATTTATTTATTTAATGGTCTTGATGAGCTTGACAGCATCTAGCTCTTTGAGAAGCGGGTAGCACATGGAGTTTTCTGCATGGAGAATCAGAGGTTGTTTTATTATCTCCATGTTGTGATCAATCAAATTTATCAGCCAGATCCACACTTCGCTTTTTTCTTAATAATACCTAGTGTCAGTGGGTTACTTTTAAATTAAAGTAATGTAATCTCCTGTTAAACCACCTAAAAAAAAGGCAAATGCGTCTTACCTATAATTTACTTTTTTGTTTTTTAATGCTTCGTCTTGAGAGACAAAGTTACCTGCTTAACTTTATGAGATTGATTATATCCAAATATTTAGATATTAAAAATTTAGGATAAAAAACTTCAAAAATTTCAAAGGGCTACAATTATTACCAATTTCCCAAAAAATTATAAAAAAATACAAGTTACTGGTTAATTTTTCTAATTTTAAAATAACTCAAAATGTTTGCAATAAACTCTGTATAATTCAATAAATTACTCTGTATTATTATTATTATTTTTAATTCACAATTTTGTAAGAGTTTAGTTGGCAGGTCATATTTGCTTCTGATTTCATCAATCCACATGTTGGCTCCGTTGTCACTGTTTTGTACTGCATGCACGCGGAAATGCAAAAGCATGTGATTAATTAATGTTAATTAATTATTTAATCACTAATGCTTAGCATAGGAACTGTGTCTGGACATTGGAGGGCCTCCCATCCACAGATGCTCCCTTTGTAATTATTTATTACTGTAATGGGTTATAATTTTATTTTGGGTCTATCTTTTGTCTAACATTGGGCATATTTAATTTTTTATTAAATTTTTAATGCGTACTTTGAAATAATATTTGTAAACAAAAAAATGAAATCCATTTGTATTCCATTCACCTAGTCTTATATATATAAACACGTAACAAAATATTACTATTCATTCTACAGTAGTCATTTTCATCCCTTATTCTTGTGTGGGTTCAAATTCAAATTTTTTCTTTTTATCAAATATCAAGAAAATCCTTTTGAGGATTGTGAACACAAAACAAAGGCACACACATTTGTACTTTTAAGTTTTAACATTTACTTCTGGCGCATAAATCAATCAGGCCTTTTTTTGTTTTTAATCTCCTTGCAGAATTATTAGAGGGATTTAAAAACATTTTTTGGCGTGCATAATGTCAGATATAAAAATAACAAAAAATATAAACAAGATATGTTATACATTGTCAGTTAAGAATATAATAAAAACTGACGAAAGGAAATAGAGAATACATAGTGTGTTGTATTATTTTTTTTTTTTTTGGTTATGGTGATTTGAAACGCGTGCCGCAGCAAAGCATGCTTAGAGGAAGATTACAACTGATAATCATATAATTAAGAAATCGCACTCGTTGGTGATGACATGTGGGGTTGATTAGGCGTTTTGGCCGGTGAGATGATATTTGATCCTTCCAAATTGTTGACACGGCCCATACCCCACACACACACGCCTAATCAACTTGGAATTGTTATGCCGCGAAATAATCATGAAGAATCTCATTAAGGATCTAAGTAGTAACTTATTTTTTAATGGGTGTTAAAAAATTTTAAAACTTCAATTCTGTCTTTAAAGATTAAATTAAAATAAGTTGAATATAAAAAAATTAAAATACTCTCAATTCAAATATTTAAAAAAAAATCACTAGCTACTATTATTGGAGCACCACCGCCGGTGGCCAAAGCCTTGCCGGCGACAACAATCATTGGAGCTTTGACTGCTGGCTGGACCTCCATCACAGTCAACGGCAGTCCACCAACATGGTTGGAAGCTTCAACAACGGAGATTCAGTGGCTATTATCGCTGACAAGGCTCTGGTCACTGGCGATGATACTTTTGACAATAGTGATTGATGGTTTTTTTAAAATATTTGAATTAAGAATATTTTAATCTTTTATATATACTGAGGTTTTAAATTTTTTAAGACCTACCAAAAATAAGTTGCTACTCAGTTTCTTCAATAAAATTCTCCCAAGTAACTAACCCAATGCAGCAAAAAATGACACTTCCAATCAAGTAACATGTATCGCTATAATACCTTAGGATTTTGAAATTTTTAAACCTTAATTTAAAAGAGAGTCTTCTTGATGTGAATGGGGAGGGAAAATAGAAAAGACAAGAGAAAAGAGTTGGAAAACAGCAGATAGAAAGATAATAGAGACACAAGAGAGAAACTCAAAGAAAGGTAAATCAATATTGAATACTGTTCATTCAAAAGGTATATAAAACAAATGTATTAAGGCTCTATTTGCAGGCTTTAATCTAACCCTAAAAATAAAAATATTAAAAACATAATATTTTATAAATTGTAATAATTAGATGAAAATATTCTAAAATAATCTAAAGGATAACCTAATAATCTAAAAGGTTACATTTATTAAAATCAAATATTAAGATCATTCTAATAAAATAAGTATCCCATCACTTCTATTCCCATTTTTTTTTAAATTCCCAATAATATATTTCGGTAAAAAAAAAAAAGCAAAAAAAAATGCATGTTTGTATGAAATCGAACTGATTACGAGCTATACGTTATTCGGAGCTTGAATTGAACAACACTAGCCGGAACTTACGAATAAAATGACTTTACAAACTTTACATTATATATGGTGTGGTTTTGTATATATTTCGTATTACATATTGATAACGTTTGAATGGATAGAATTTTAGATTTAAAATCATGCATTCCAAATTTTATATTTAAAATTTTTTATTTTGATAGTTTTAAAACAAATCTAATAAAGAAAAAAGATGAATTGAAATACTTAATTGACAGATTTGAAAGTGATGAATTTATTTTTGTTTTTTAACTGATAAGAGACCACAACAAGATATGATCAATGATATAAGAGTTATAGAGACATTAATAGTAAAAACATACAAGAAGAATGAGATATTTTAAATGACTAAAATTTTATATGATTAGAATATAGAGAGAATTTAAAATTATAAAAAAATATAATAAGAAATGGATTCTGCAAATTTTTATGCATCCAAAAAAAAATTTAATTTAAATCTAAATTTAAATTTAAATTCGCATAAATCGGCCAGTGGATTTTTCTCCTCTCTTATTTTTTTCTTTGAATTCATCTTTACTTATCTCATCATGTTTAATCATTAGTTTCCCAAACAATATATCGGACAAAATTCGAGTTATAATGATAAACTTTCGAGTATGATATTTAAAAAAGCTTTAATTATCAAATAAATTTTAATGTATTTATATGAAAATAAATTGATGCGGTATAAAGTTTAAGAGAGAGGCCTCATTATTCTCGAATTATAAATAATGCAGTTTGATTTGTTATTAGCTTTATAAATATAAGTAATTTAAAAAAATTATACATAAAAAATAAAATCTAAGGTTATATTTATTTTGAATTATTTAGAATAATTTAAAATTTAAAGTCTTTTATTGTAAGTACATTTCATTTATAATTCATGGTTATAACTCTTTAAAATTAAAATAAAGAAAACCAGAGCACCTAAAAATACTAGTTTGTTAGTTTAGGATGAGGATAATTGTTAAAGTAGAACTTTAATGGGCTGGCCCATTTGTGATTAGACTATTAAACTAATCGGCCTTATTCAGATGAGTGGGTTGAAATTACGTAGAATAAAGTAGAGTTTTCATATTTGTTTAATTTCCGTTCTTTTTGTATTAGAAAAAGTGGGATGAAATGTGGGGAAAATATGAATAAAGACTTCTTAATGAGATTTATTTTAAATCAAAGTCCATAAATTTTAAAATATCAATGCAGTTCAGAGTCCTGACTTGATATTAAATTTTTGATAGAAATGACAAAATTACCTTTCATTTAAATTGAGATTATAATTGTTCTATTTTACTTGTTCATTTATTTATAAAATGTTATTCATTACCTACTTCACTTAATGTCATTCTAATTATTTAAATTATTTTAAGACAACTTGATGGTTAGTAAAATGAAATTAAATGAAAATAAAATAATGAAACAATAATCTGTAAGTAAATGAATAAATAAAGTATAACAGTTTTAATGTTAATATAAATGAGGGAATTTTATTATTTTTTTAAAATTTAATATTAAATTAAGACCTTTGGACTGTAATGATATTTTAGAAGTTTAAAGACTTTGATTCAAAATAAATTTGATCAATGGGTCATTTTATTAATATTTTCCTTAAGATGTGGGTAAAGGTCGAAA